TTACAAAGTACTCTGTGATCTTAAAGAACAGCCGATTGGCCGATTGATTGGTTCGTTTTGACTTTTAGCATAGACTATATGCAAGTTTTGATAGGGCAATTCTGAACCATAAATGTGAATTAAAAAAAAAAAAAAGCATTTACAGGTAGTTTACTTGCCTGTATAAAAATCAATAAAAATCAATAAAGATCACTAAATTGTTAAATCTTATACAGTGTTAAATGTTTTGGAACTTTTATGGCAAATTTTAAAATAGGGATGGTGTTCGGATTTTCTAACTTTGTTAATAAATGATTTCATCGCCTACTTAAATCTCATTGAATCAGGTATTTATAAACTAAGAAAAAAGCAAGCGTTGCTCAAAAATGACTTGTATCTTTTCTTTTTTTCACTTTGACAGGTTTAGAACTGAAAGAACATACTAATTTTGACCAATACCACCACTCGCATCATAAACATTATAAAGTGATAATAAACCATTATTTTTCCATATTTATTTTAATTCAACTTAATCAAAAACTTACAGTAGTTATTGTTTTTAACTCTTGTCGTATTCCTGGAAACGCGCTTCAGGTGAATTTACATTAAGGAACATTATTTGCTCCATTTTAATATTGGTCAGCCTTGTACGTCTTTGATTAATTATTGGTCCTGTTTCAGAAAACATTAGTTCACAAGGTCCAGATGTAGCTACTATGTTACAGTTGTTAATAAATATTTTGCTTAGATTGGGGTATACAGTTTGTCGATTTTTCCACCATTCTAATGGACAGTTAAGCTTGCCGAATTGGTCTTTACGTCGTAAGTGATTTTCAAAGAGATACATATCTATCTCGTGGGTCGCTCTTGATAATGGCGTTAATGTAGAGCTTTTTATCGCTTCGTCAAAAGAATCCCATAAACTATCACATTCTAAGGTAACATCGTCAGTATCAGATGGTTTTGAAAGGGCATTTGTGTTCTCCGATTCGGCGATCAACGCTGCTACCATATTCGTGACTCTTTCTTTTGTTTTTTCAGCCTCATTTTGATCATCGAAAGGTACCATTTTAAAGCGAGGATCCAAAAAAGTACACAATGCTAACGTTTCATTTCGTTCAATTTGTTCGAAGTGATCAACTAGTCCTGATTGGAGTAATAATATAATCTCTCTAGAAAGGGGTAATAAGTCATCTCTGCTGAAAAATCTTTGTAACAATTTACTTATACATCTTGTAATCACTATCACATAACTACCTGGAAAATATTTTTCGCCTATCATAGTGTCTGTTACCTGTTTTAAGGGTCCTAATATTTCACGTAATTGAACATAAAAGGTCCAATCTTCTCCAGTTATCGTTGGCAACGGTGTGTCTACAAACGCCAATGTATTACAAATGGCTTCTTTAAGCTCGACAAATCTTCCTAACATGAATAATATAGAAATCCACCTCGCATCAACAGCTTGAGTAAGCTGCTTTGGTGCTATGCCACGGTCTACTTGATATTTTTGTAGCATCTCTGAAGAAGCAGTACTTTGTTGTATAAAAGCCACGACCTCAATTACTTTTTCGATATGATTTTTAGATAATTGCAGGGCATTTTCAACAATTGAATTTAAAGAATGAGCGTAACATTCAAAATGTTTCCAGCCTAAAATTTTCTCTACTGCTGTTATAATGTTTTCGGAATTATCGGTTACTATGTAGTTTATCTTATTTTGTAGCTCAAATCTATTAACTATCGTCTGAATAGCGGTCGCCATCTTTTGGGGTGTATGGCTCAGCAAATGAACGCATCCTAACAACACTGATTTAAATTCTAATGTACAATTTAAATAATGTCCGGTAATCGCAATGTAAGTTTCCATTGCTGAGGAAGTCCAAATATCCGCAGTCAAGCAAATAGAACGAACTTCGCTATTTATCTGCTCGTTTATTTGGTTTAGCGTTTTATCATATGCTTGTTGCAACATTATATCGGAAAGCATCTTTTTCGTGGGAAGCTCATATCCCGGAATCCATCTACAAAATTTTTTAAATCCCCTTTCTTCTACAAGTGAAAAAGTATGCAATCCATCTATACATAAATCTAATAAATCCGAATCTATTTGCGCCTTTTTGACTTTACTGATTTTTTTCCGTATAGGCGTTGTTAAACTATTTGAATGTTGAGATACAAGTAAAGTGAATATGGAATTATGTTTACGTTTCAAATGTCTTTTTAAATTTGCACTGGTTGCTTGGTATAACCTTCTGCATATATTGCATTCAGCTTTCCGGGTAGTATCGTCGTATACGAAGTGAAGCAACACATCATTAATTAACTGTTCAGACATTTTAAACAATTAAAATATTGACGAACAACTACGCACAACTTAACACTGCCGAAAAATTATTCAAAACACAATCACAAACTGGGACGTAATTTTAACTTAAACAATGACGATAATGAGTTGAGTCGACCAAAAGCAATAAACGAAATAACGCAATCAGTTCCTAACTTCACACCGAATGGCAATTTGAATTTTAAATATTTTCCGTTTTCTACGAAGAAAATATTTAATACATTTACGAAACATGAGTTCTAAAGAATTATAATAGCAAGCTATATTTTATATTTCATTAGTCTATTATAGGTATTTTTGTTAAAATTATACCGGTCTTTATTTTTGGCAGGCATTTCTAAGAAATTATGGTTTCGTAATGACATATGAAATGTTTTTAAACGGATTTTTTTCAGCATTTGAATTTGTGAGCATTTTTATCACTTTAATACTGCAAAATATATTTAGATTGAACAAGTCCAACCAAATGTTAAGCCTTCAATTTTTATTAAGAGTTCACTTAACGTAACCTCGATTATTCTTACGAAAGGTTTTGATTGTTGTAATTAAATATCCGATGTGTAGATGCCATATTTTTAAATAGAAAATATTCTCGTAGTTATCTTGATGTGAGATCCCACTGTCAAAACATTCTTATAAATATTTGTTTAGCGAAAAAAGGGTATTATAAATATATTCAGTTGATTTGGTTTAAAATGATTTAATTGTTGCACATTTTTTATTTGAACGTTTATAACTACACAAAATAGTCTTCTTCTAAAAATTAAGAATACAATATCTAATAAATATTTTATTGTAAGTCATTACATATTGATGTTTATCATATAGATACATGACATTAAAAAATAATTATGCATATAAAGTTTACTTGTGATGTGTATGGAATGACTTGATACTATTATTGTAAAAAGTAAAGAAACAATGTAAAAAAAATAATATACAGCCAGACTGAAAATTAAAAAAAAAATATCATTTCTTTTCGAATATTAGATATTGATGTCAAAGACCAGGACAAAATTTTTCAACAAAACTTTTTTGTAAAATAAAATCCATACTGTTCTTTAAATTAAGTAAAAATTAAAAACTAATACATTGTGATTACTATAATATAAATATAAAATACATTTTTGTACACACACATTAATTGAAATGTAAAAAAAATCGCAATACTACAAAGTTTTAATTCTGTCGCACTTAGATGTTAAACGTTCACTAAGGGAGATATTTAGACCATATAACTCTGAGTGCGGCAGTATTATCGATCTTAAATTCATTGTACATTTATAATTCTTTATATTACTGCTTTATATTGTTAACTAGCTTTCGCCTGCGACTCCGTCAGCTTGGAATTTAATAAAGTAACCTATGTGTTATTCCAGACTATCCTCTACATCCATGTCAAATTTCATCGAGATCCAGCAGTTTAGGCTACAAACTCTAACAAACATCCATCCATCTAAACTTTTGCATTTATATTAGTTAGAAATAACATTATTTAATTACCACAACATTTTGTGACAATATCTACATATGAAATAGGTAATCCGATTATCTAGGCTAGGTCTAAGGGAGGCGGTTCCATGTTTTTTTTTCGAATTAGAATTCCTATCTACCCCCCCGGTGACGCCTTTAACCTATATAATCAGAAAGAAGATAATATTTTAACCTTCAACGATGATATTAAATTACAATTTTTTTATTTATTTCATAATTTATATAATCAATTTATAGATAACGTTATAGGGAGATTTGATTTTTAGATTAATTATTGTTTAAATTTGTTAAAATGCTACAAGTTTGAGATTTCTTTCTACTGTAAAGTCTTTATAAATCTTTTATGTTATAACCCACTATTATTTAATTTACGATAACTTTTCAATTGTATTAAGTTTTACATTTTTTGGCCGATAATGTCATATATTGTGTATGGATTTTTGTAGTTTCTTTGTATTGATGATACAAATATGTCTGTTTGTAATTAGTCTGTGTTAACACGTTAAATGCCACTACCTGCCATTTTCAACCTTAATAACATTCCGATAGGATCAACAGATTTAACACATACAAAAATTGAGATTAGCACAATTGAAATAAGGTTTAATTTGATTTGCTCGCCTTACAACATGTGAAAAGTGAAAATAAACCTTATTGCATTAGCATAGAGTTCAATTTGCGATAAAATACTGTGCTTTACGCTCTGCCCCCTTAGACAATTATTCGATTATTGGTATCGTTATTTAAGAAAAAACGTATGGAGCTGAGAATAACATTCGATAAGTCACGTATTCTATACATTTTGTCACGTTTTGCTAATTCTACGAGCGAATTCGCTAATCGAAACTCACTTTGTCTATGGGGGTCTGTTAAAACAAACTTTTAGGGGGTCCATAACAACCATTTGTAATAATTTTTGGGGTTCTTCAGCACAAAAGGTCCCCTACAGCCCTCGCGCCGCACTCACTAGCCCAGTATACTCCCCCGCAACTGCTGATCAGACCCCACACGTATGGGGTAAAGAACTCCTCAGGTCTCTCCTCTTCCACGTAGCGGAATTTCAAATCTGGGAATTTCTGGAATACAAAATTATCGTAAAACAGAGTATTTAATAGTAACATTGATAAGGTACAAGTTTTTTTTAATTTTAAATATTTCGATCGAATAATTCTTCAGGAAGAGAAATGATTGTATTACAAGTCGAATTGCAAGAAGTTTTTAAAATGTCTTGGCGTCCAGAGAAATTGTATTTTTGTATATATTGAAATAACTAAAAAACTACTAGACCAAAACCAAAAATTCTTTCACTAGCAAAAAGCTTGGTTATTAGTTACATAGGCCATATTTTAGTATATGTAATTTGTAGAGAGAAATCTACAATGATTGTCAAATTAGTAAACATGAGTGCGTAAATATACACTTAGATACCTTTAGCCTATCATTGGACCACTGCTCAGCGCCCTTCTTGATGCACTGCAGCACTTCTGTAACGCCGAGGTCGCCGCCCGCGCCCTCCTGCACGCGCTGCAGCCGCGTAGAGAAGTATCCTATCACCTACACACAAACAATACTAATCTTACTAATATTATAAATGCGAAAGTTTAGATGGATGGATGGATGTTTGTTAGAACTTGTAGCTTAAACCGCTGAACGGATATTGATGAATTTTGGTATAGATGTAGAGGATAGTCTGGAAGAACACATAGGATACAAACTTTTGATTTTTTTTAATTTCACGCGAACGGAGTCGCGTGCTCAAGCTAGTATTATATAATCACTAATATAAAATGCGAAAGTTTAGATGAATGGATGTTTGTTACAGTTTGTAGACTAAACGTCTGAACAAATCTCGATAAAAGGCATAGAAGTAGAGGATAGTCTGGAAGAACACAGGTTACTTGCATTTGTTTTTTTTTAATTCTGCACGGTCGAAGTCGCGGGCGTAAGCTAGTATAATATGATTACTAATATTATAAATGCGAAAGTATAGATGGATGGATGTTTGTTAGAGTTTGTAGCTTCCTGAAACTGTAAACTCCAGAACAAATCTCGATGAAAGGCATAGATGTAGAGGATAGTCTGGAAACACAGGCTACTTGCATTTGTTTTTTTTTTAATTCTACGCAAACGGAATCGCGGGCGAAAGCTAGTTATATTAATAATAACGCGTTACCAAAATGAGCAGCCGCTATTCGGGAACTAACATTAGAAAGCGAAACTTGCATGGATGGATGGATGTTTGTAGCTTAAACTACTATCATTTTTTTTAAATTCCACAACAAAAGCTAGTAATCTAACAAATATATAATCCAAAAGTCACCATTTCTATGTTCTGCGCGATGTGGTGATGGTGCTGATGCTGCTGGTGGTGGAAGAGGTGGCGCTTGTGCAGCAGCGCGTACACCAGGTTCAAGTTGGAGGACAGCTGGTGCGTCAAGCAGGAGTTGATGATCTCCAACAGCATACGGATCACTTCATCCAGCACTGTTATATGGTCCATCTGAAAAAACAATAATTTTTAATCTGTAGATTTTTAATATGGAAATAATTATTTAAATTTCACATTATAAAATCACATTTTTCGTCTTAATTTGTATAAATCATATTAATATTGCAACGAAAATTTGGATGGATGGATGTTTGTTACTATATAACTCCAAAACGGCTTAAAGGGTAGTTAAAATTAGGTACAGATGTAGAACAAAGTTTGGAAGAACTACTAAGCTACTTGTCAAGTTTTTTTTTATAAGAAGTTGCAAAAATTAACTTACGATTTCTTCAGTTTTTTCCTCAGCATGATGTGGCAATTCTAAAGTATTGATATCACCACCTAAAAGAAAATAAATAATTTCACTATATATCTGTTTGTCTGTATATTAAACTAGCTGTTCCCATGCGACTTCATCTGCATGAAATTATAAAATGTTCATTATATTGTTCACATTTGTCAAATTATCAATTGCAAATGTTAATATGACATGACATGATGACAACCTTGCTTCCTTGATGTTGGCAACAACTTATAGTCGCTTTCCCACAGCAGGGTTTTTATCCAAAATATTTACCCCTAAGTTATAGACGTGAAAATATATAGCCTAAAGCGTGACATAAATGTAGGGCTTTTTCTTAAAAAAAAAAGAGTCATTCGAAAATATGCTGTAATTGCTGACATCTTAGGCAACAAAGAAGTGTGTGTTTACGCTTTATTATAATAGTTAAGATAAAAAAGTAAAATACCTTCTATTTCACTACACAGTCTTGATCTTCTCTTTGTTAATGTTTCAAATAACGATACTATTCTTTGGGCAACGTACGGGTGTAGATTTCTGAATTCACCTGCAAACAAGGGTATTACAAAAAAAAAACATATTTAATACAGTAAAAAGGAATAATTAAAAATCCACTTGTATTGATTCTAGTTAAGTTGTTAAGTAGCATAATAGATTATAGCTTGTAATCTGTAACAAAATATGCAAAACTAACCTCACTCCGTCTTCGCGGAATTAAAATATTCTAATAATTAGTCGATATTTTCTTTCAGACTATATTCTACATCTATGACGAATTTTCTTCAGATTCGTTAAGCCGTTCTGGATCTCCATATTTACTAACATCCATCCATCCAAACTTTACTTTTAATATCAGTATGACGTATTGAAACGACAGGTAACTGCAGACAATTCAACTAATTTTGTGTCATTTTAAAATATAACACTAATATTATAAATACGAAAGTTTAGATGGATGGATGTTAGAGTTTGTAGCATAAACCACTGAACGGATCTTTGATGAAATTTAGCTCAGATGTAGAGGATAGTCTGGAAGAACATATAGGCTACCTACTTTTATATTAATTTTCTAATTCCACGCGGACAGAGTCGCCGGCGAAAGCTATAATAAAGGAGGGGAGCCAAAGAGGTTATTTTACTCACAGCTCATATTAGCGATGGCTGCCAAACAATTAGTATGGAGATATTTGTCTCGAACGCGGGCCATATTGTACTGCAGCGCGCGGACCACCACCAGCACCATCAGACCGCCTAAAGATATCTCCGATATTGCTCTCTCTGTATACCATGTTAGATTCTTCAACATCTGAAATACAATCATATTAAAAAAACAATTATAACCTAAAAATTAATGACGTTAGTTATGTGTGGAGGTACACCGGTAGAGATAGAAAGAGATGGATTATATGAAAGGTGACATAATAAAGAAGGGAGTGACAGAGATGACGGTAGACTTATATGAAGGACAAAAACTGGTCCTCCACTACGGGAGTAGGATAAGGTATTGGGAGTTGAACTATAACCTAAAAACCTAAAAACACGCACCACGGACAACGCGTCCGCGCAGTGATGGTTGATTCTAATAAGTTAATTAAAAGTTTACGATTCAAAAAGTTAAATTTAACGTTACATTAATTTTTCAGATCTTTCAACAGATTCAAAATACTAAGAAAATCGATATTGCCACACCCAGTCATTGAGTCTTCCTTGGTGTAGTTTAATAGGAAAAATCTATAATTATGGTGCCAATTTAACCATTAAACTACTTTCAATGACAGTTGTTGAATTATTAATTAAGCAATTTCTTAGTGATTTCTCATCTTAAAAATGTCACTAAAAGTCCCATAAGACCATTTGTTACATCATACTTCATACTATAATATTATAAATGCGAAAGTTTAGATGGATGGATGTTTGTTAGAGTTTGTAGCCTAAACTGCTGAACGGATCTCAATGAAATTGGGCATAGCTGTAGAGGATAGTCTAGAAGAACACATAGGCTACTTACTTCTGTTTGTTTTATTACCACGCGGACGAAGTCGCGAGCGAAAGCTAGTTCCGTATACACCTTAGCATTAGTTATGAGTACTCACAATAAGGTGCACATTCTTGATGAGAGAGTCGTCTTCAGTGAGTATAAGCAGGACTATGAGAGACATGTAGATATGATGAGAGTTGCTGTCCGGAGCGTTGTATAACACTTGTAGGATAGGTACTATCTGAAACAAAATATACCGGTTAATATGACATAGAGGTTATAGTGAGCAGAATAAACAATTATCGATTTTTAACATTTGTTTATTACGAGCTGTTGCCCGCAACTTCGTCCGCGTAGTATTCGAAAACATACGAACTATATAAATATCAAATAGCTACGTATCCCTCGGGAACCGGACATTTCTCTGGGATGAAGCTTATCTCATGTGTACTACAGACTTTGTTTTATATCTGTGCCAAATTTCAATAAGATATGTTGTACCGTTGCAGAAAGATCGAGTGAACATTAAAAAACTAAATTAATCAATCCCACGGAAACCGTAACTATTCCCGGGATAAAAAGTAGCATATGTGTTCTTCCAGACTATGCTCTAAATCTGTGCCAAATGTCATGGAGATCCGTTCAGCCGTTTAGGCTACAAACGCTAACAAACATCCATCCATCCATCCATCCATCTAAACTTTCGCATTTATAATATTAGTAAGAATAAGAAGTAAGATTAATTTTTTTTATTAACAAAACCTACGCCACTGGTATGGAAAGAGCACCCGTTGACTTATCAGAGCAGCGGTGTCAAGAACGAAAGTCGCCCTAATGATCGCTAACTTCGAAAGAAGATGGCACTTTAAGAAGAATTTTTAACATTGAATTTTAGAGGTGTGGTTTTCGCTGTTATTTTTGTTTTTTGTTAAAACACTTTTTTTTAAGTTTTTGTTAGATCAAGGGCATTGACCTAGGTAGTATAACTTAAAACGTATTTCTTATACTGTTTTAAATGAGAATGTTTGGATGAATGAATGTTAAAAGTTATAGAATGGCTCAACCAAGATAGATGAAATTTGATACATTTAACAAACAAAAAAAAGTAACATTGAACTTATTCTATACTAGCTATCGCCCGCGTGTCCATCCTCGAGGAAAAATAAGTAGCTTATGTGTTCTTCCAGACTTTCCCCTACATCTACGCCAAATTTCATCGAGATGCGTTCAGCGGTTCGAAACTTTTGCATTTATAATATTAGTAAGAAGTAAGGATTACATTGCTAATAATAAATTGAAATAAAAGATATTCTGAAGTTTTTTTCCTTAATTTAATTTGTAAAAGGTAATAAACACTCTTAAGAAGAAAATCGGGCAACACTAGGATATCGGCATAGACGTTCCTATTTGACAGCTGTCAATGTCATTCAGACGTAGAATAGCGCGCCATTTTAGCGGGAGTTGTCTGAATATTTTATTACGTTGTTACAATTATATTAATGTCTAATAATACTTACTAAATCCTCTATATTAGCCACGGTGGTGATGTGCCGTTTGTACGCCTTGCAGGAGTGCAGCATCAAATACAGGAGTAGTGTGGAATGCTCGCAGCCCGCAGTCGCACATAAGGCTTTGTGTAACTGGATATTTTGGTAATTATTGTATATAATAAAAATCTGACATTATTTGACATTAAAAATCTACAGTTCACTTGTCCAAATGAATACAGTCGTCTAGTGTTTTATTCAATTTTCTTGTTGGGTTATAGAAATATTTTTTATAATTGTTTGTAACCTGTATGTTTCTAAACTAGTGGAGAAATTTTTATAAAACTTTAGTAGAATATTCTAAGGACTTTTAAAGAATGTTTTAACTTTAAAAAATATAAAGTTACCTCAATTTTCGATATTGTTATAATAAATTTAGAATTTACATGTAATTTTAATTATAGGAAATTTAGTACTTTTTGTAATATTACTATTTTTGTATGAAATTATTACCGCAGCCATATCTATCCGAGGCGGTGTGACTTGCGCGCCGCCAGAGTCGCGTTGTGGAGTCGTAGTTGTAGTTTCTGTAAAAATAGCATTTAATATTAACACATGAATAAAACAATTTAATAAATGAACTATTATAGCTCTAATCATATATTGCCAGTATTTTTTTTGATTAATACACGAGGAACAAAGAAAAGAGATAATTAGCTTTTTAACCAAAACTACGTACATTGGTCATGCTTTGATTTATTATCTGTTTTACATGGTTTTATTCGCAGTGGCTGCCATATGGTCCCACTTTTCAAAACTCAAAACTATTTATTAGTTTTTGAGTTTTCATTTAAAATCATAGTAAAAGTCGTAAATTTTTGTCTTGTAGTCGGTTTTCTTTTTTGTTGGCTCTAGAATATTTAAGGACCTTCTACATAATATCTGCTTCTTGCTTACTATAGATATTGCATGATTGACTGGATTTTTCCCAGCTTCCATTTTCCTCCCCATTGTGGTCATCCACCGCACCTTTTGCGATGAGGGGACGGTTGGAACTTATTTTGTTTTTTGAAATTTCCATCTATCACTTTATTAGTGATAGTGGGACTAAAAGGTGGGACAGACGAAACGTTTTACACTCACCTGTCCCCACGCGGGCACAACGCGGGGTGACGGTTGCGAAAATTCCTTATTTAAACTAAGTTACCTGCAGTATCCTCACAGCAGAGTAGCGCGTTCCTGTACAGATTGTCCTGCGTCATGCAGTGGTTGGCGAGCGCCAGCAGCAGCAGACAGGACTGGTTGGCGACGCCGTGCTCCCTCCGTAGCCGCTGCAGCAGCTCACGACGGTCTACCGCCGGCTGGCTATAGATAGTCTGCGGTGCGGTGCCCAGACGCAGCATACTCCAAAGACCAGCTGGAATCATGAGATCTTGATGTAAAATTGGACTGGCATTCCGGCGTAGCGTGGTTCACAGCCAGTAGAGTAGGTCAATTGCATCAATAACTGGACTGACATTCAACTGGCATAATAAACGATAACTGGCGCCATTGAATGACTGGCCGGCGCAACTGTCTCACTGTACTGGCCAAGTGTGAACTGGTATTATGTAAACACTGTCTGCTAGTGACTATACAGTCCATACTGGCCATGAACCAGGCATTATCAGAGGTTTTCAAACTTGTTCTATTTAACACAAACTTTGAATAACAGATGTTTTGTAGCGGACTCTATTATTTTAAAATAAAAAAACCTCAATGTTAGTTTCACCTGGACATTTTTAACGATACTTTTCTTAGCAGATAGCTATAAAAATGAAACTTTAGAAGTTTATAAGATTCTTTCATTAAAAACTAGACAGAAGAAACATAAAAAAAACACTTAATTAGTAGCTAGTTCTTCTAGAATTTGTTCTACATTTGTATCGATCTTCAGGGAGATATGTTAGGCCTTTTGAAGATAAAACAAATAACAAATAACAAATAAATAAAATTTAGTTAACAACTTACAGGCTAAATTAACTAAAAGGCTATCTCCAGTGCCGGTGCCGAACATGTTGGGAGGTGCGGGCGTCATGCTGGACAGGTTCACCATTAAAGTCTTCACTAGTAGCGGAGCATGCATACCATATCTACCTTGGAAGAGTGTTCTGGAACAAACATTTTATATACTTGTATACACTGTAGAATATCATCAAAATTACAAATCATTAAATTTAAAAATATACTAGCTGTTGCTTTCGACTTCTTCCACATGGAATTTAAACTGGAAAAAATACATGCCATTACATGGTCCAGTAGTTTTTTTTAATTTAAATACATACAAAAACACAAGCTATTTACTCTTTTTTTTTAATATCACGAGGACGGAAAGATTGCATTAAATGAGCTCCGAAACGTATAAACCCATTTCAATAATGGTTTCACCATAAGTAAGCTACATTATTACTAAGAAACAAAAGCTATATTTTCAACGAAAAAGTAAGGATATGACAGAAATATAGAAAACGTGTCATCATCATTATCAACTTGCCCTTATCCCTTATGGAGGGTTAGCACAGTATACTGCTCTTCCATACATCTCTATCAGCCGTCATATCTGAATCCACTCCTTTCTTAAGCATATCCTCTTTCACACAATCCATCCATACTTTCAATAGAAATATAGAAGACATGTATTGCCATATAATATTTTACCTGTATATAAGGGAGGTTTCCACAAGCCGTGTTTGTCCATGTACTCCAGCAAACATATACACTGACATTAGTACTAAAAGTGTATTTATACATTCCAAGTGTAAATAATATGTATTATCCCTGGAACAAATAATTTAAAAACACATTATTTTATCCACAACAGCACTTTCTTTGTATTAAGGACCTGTCCGACCAAACCGTAAATTGTCTGACAAAAATACAAGTAAAACATGTGATGGAAATATCGGATTTTATTAACTTATCTGACAGTAGACATTTTAAAGCTATCTGAGCCTCTATCAGCCAGTTGTGGGACAGGCCTTAAATCTCACCTGCTTAGGTTATATTTCCACTAATACTAGCTCTAGTGTATTGCACCAGTGGAAAGGGAGTTTTTTACCAGTTAAGGAGATTACTCACGTAACAGGTACATCAATGATAATTCCAATAAGTGCATCTATCAACATTTCAACTCTGCTTTCAGATGTCAGCTTGGGTGAAGCTGGGGCTTCGGGCGCATGCGTTGGTGTCGATGTTGCGGGTGTCAATGACTCTGGTGTCTCCGGACTTGGTTGTCCAGGGAGCTGCAATACAGGTGTCCCATTGTAAATCACAATAATAAAATTACAAAGCATTTTCGGTTTCAAGTGATTTATATGCGAAGACTGTATTTGTTTAACAAAATCTATCTCTGCTTGCAAAAGCCCGCGAATTTTATTAAATACCTAACAAAAATATATTTTTATTAGCAACTTCAACTGTACCACTGGGTTGCCTTTAAGTTCAACCTTGCTAACAATCTTGTAATACATACGAATATTATAAAGACCAAAGATTTGGATTTTTCTGTGTATTTAAATAATTCAAAAACTACTGGGCCAATTTCAAATATTTTATGTCGTCGGTGAGCAACATAGGATACGTTTTTTATTATATTTTTAATTTCACGCGGGCGAAGTCGCGAGCAACAGCCAGTTTGTAACACATTGTTGTTACAAGTAAATAAATTAAAAAATTCTTGCATACTGCTTCAAAGTAACAATGTATAACATTTTACCTCTATAGGAATAGAAAATAGGAATGTTGGTAAGGATACCAACATAATAAAACTTACAGGCGTGCCAGTATCTCCAACATCAACAGGCCCGTTGGCAGCGCGAACCGCATTCACATCTAAATGTCTACATAATTCGTACTCCGGTACAATTTCCACAAGATATTTGCTCACTGCTCGTATCACGAATAATGCATTGAATGTCTGCCATGCTAGCATTACACTGAAATAAAAATAACAATAGGTTAAGGGCTTATCCCACCACTGATAGTAACAAAATCCGATATTTCCATTGCATATTATACATGTTGGAGTGTTATCAGACAATTTATAATTTGGTGGGACAGGCCCTACATTATTACTAGTACTAATACTACTAATTATTAAACAGACTCACGTCTATTTTTAATCTATACCAATATTATAAAAAGGAAAGATTTGTATTTTTGAATCTTTATCTATTGAAATAACTCAAAAACTGCTGGGCCGATTTTGAAAATTCTTTCACCGCCCTTTTCTTGTTAGTGTATCTGTAGAGATACATCAATTTTTTTTTCTAAACACCTTTGGTCATCAAGGTTAAGTGCTATGAATATTATTTTCATATTCGAAAAAATAAAATTCTGCCAAGTTAAGGGTTAAAAAGGATTTCATCAATGGGTAACATAGTCTATATTTTTTAATTTTACGAGGGCAAAGTCGCAAGCAATATTATATATTTTTAATAGATGTGAGTGTTAGCCGTTTAATCATTAGTTATAATCATAGGTTACAGTGGCAGTGCCCGCTTTAACATCTTAGCACGAATGGGCCGGCACGCCCGGTGTAATACCACGACCACACAGAAGACAGGCGTGAAATGGAAACAATTCCGTGTTTCGTCTGATGAGTGTGGTGCCGGAGGCCTAATTTAAGTCCCTTTCTCTTTACCACCCTTTTCTTATAAGAAGATGGGAAGGGGAAGTGGATTTGACGGTGGAGGAGATGCATAGGAAGGGAAAGTATCCTCTTAATGTGCGTCTCCTCCTCCGTCGTATAAGGGTAGGCAACGTATCTGCAATTGCGGATGTCTATGGGCAGCGGTCGCTTCGCCATTTTGGCGGATTCAGGTGGCCGCTTGCTCGTTTGCCACCTTATGTTATAAAAAAAAAAGGTATTTGTATATTGCCATCCTTTTTCTTCTTTTTTAAAAAGACAGAGAGGACAATGTTATAATACAAATGTGACTGAAATGGAATATGGTGGTTAATTTTTTTAAATAATTTATTATCTTTGACATTCTTTCATCAACTCCACGGTAATACACTTATAGCTAAACCAAATGAAATCATTTAGTTTGGAATGCTTAAATTATTTTCAATATGCTTTGTGTTATAGATCTTCTATTAAGATAAGACTTTTTATATTCCAGTTTAAGTTATAATTTTATTAAATGTTTTAAATGACTCATTTACTCCTTATCATAAAGTCTATGTTTAATTGGAAACAAATCTGGTTTTAATTTTTTTTTACACTATCTACAACCATGATATTTTTTAATGTAGGTTTTTATGCTTTCTGTTATCAGAGACATAACATGGGTTGACTTTGAATGTTAATAGCTTTAGAATCAGAGTAATGATAATGATATCCTGTACATCAAGCATGTGAACACTAAACTATTATTTATCTATACAAATATTATAAAGAGGAAAGATTTGTATTTTTGTACTAGCTGTTCCTGGCGGCTTCATCCGCATGAAATTATGAAAAAAGTTTACATTTGTCAAATCAATAACAAACGTGTTACATGACATGACATGACAAACCTTAGCAATCTTTCCTTCTTGATTTTGGCAGCAACTTATGGTCTCTTTCCGACATTAGGGTTTTCTCCAAAATATTTACCCCCTAAGTTTAATGGCGTGAAAATATATAGCCTAAAGCATGATGTAAGTGTAGGGCTTTTTATTAAAAAATTAAATATTCAAGAATATGCTGTGATTGCTGACGTCTTAGGCAACAAAGAAGTGTGTTTTTACGCTTTATTATAATAGTATAGGTTGAAATAACTCAAAAACTACTGGGTCGATTTTAAAAATTCTCTCACCATTAGAAAGAAAATTTATTTGTAAGTAACATAGGCTATATTTTATTATTACTAATGTTGAGGAACTATTAATAATCAACATATTTCTGGACAATAGTGTTAAAAAATCACAATGTTTTAAATTTTCTCAGCTTACACTGCCTTAACCATTTGAGGTATATAATGGCACATGTTTTTTATTTTATACGCATATGGAATATTACAACACAACTGGATGAACATTATTGAACAATAGACATACAACAAACATAATAGACAGTTGGATTAAGGGCCCGATTCAAAAGGCGGTTATTTTAGAAACCGCACGAATAGTGAGGAGGTTCCTGTCTCTGCAGCCCTGACCACTGGTTGCTTGAGTCATCGGATTCCGCAGCCGGTGGTGCTCTATTTTTTATATAACATGTTTTATTTTATTTTTATATTGTTGTAAAATGTATTATATAGAGAACAAGAAATAAAGATATATGGATTATAACATAATTAACAATTAATTCTTAACACAAGACCGAGGCAGCAGAGTTCTGTGGCGATTGGATACTTAGGGTGTAACTGCTGCCTGGGCAGAGTGCTTATAAAACTGGTTAAATTTTGGTAGGTGTTAGTTTAGCAAGGTCTACACATGATAAGGGGGAAGATAGATTACCTTATCTATACCTCTATACTGATTGTAAAGAAGAAAGATGTGTAACTTTGTAAGTATTGAACAAATTTAAAAACGAACGGGCCAATTTCCTAAATTCTTACCAATAAAAAGCTATGTTATCACCGAATAACATGGGCCATATATTTTACTACTTTTTAATTACATGTGGACAAAGTCGGGAGCAACTGCAAGTCATGTAAAAAGCCTATTTACTCTACTTTTGAAGGTACCTACATAGTAATTGTATAAACAGCAATGGAAACCCTCTACTATATGCAAAATTATTAAAGAAATAAATTTTGTTTAATTACAAGGAATATTAACAATGACAGAATGAAGATATTCCATATAGATGAGCCGAGTCAGAAACTTACTTGTCACTGTTAGGTGCTGCCAATAGCTCAGTTGCTCTTGTGATGAATACTTGAACTAGAGAGCCTAGGTTGCCTGTCTGCAGGTTGTTTTGTAAGAACTTCTGCAATAGAGCCTCTGTGCTTGAGTCAAATATTAATTGCTCATCCCTAAAAAAGGTAAAAAAACAATTAAACTCTATAATTATACTATTAGCTTACAAATTGTTATAAAAATATCTCAAAAAGTAAATGAATTGTTGAATTAATATTTTTTTCATATATAAAAGATCTCAGTTTAAAACCTAAAAAAGGTGAACAGAAACTTCAAATCTATATTGTATTAAACTTACGTATCATTTGGCAGTTGAATGTTAAAAGCCAGTAGCTGATTCCAAAATGGATCGTTTGGGCAGATAATTTCAGCAGAGCAAAATCGGTCAAGCAGTTCATTTGATGATATGTCTGAATATCTGCTTATAGCCACTCCCATTGTATATCTATAATGGTAAAATTTAAAGAATTACAAGAAAAGGTAATATAAAAGATGGCATTTTTCTTATTGGGATTTTAATAGTATAATCTAGTTTCTGGACAATTTTTTAGTGTTTCATTTCACAACGACGTAGGTTGTCATATATATACAGTAGCAATCGCAAAATAAGTTAAGAGCCGGTTACTATAGTTCGGAATGTAAGTTGTACACAATTTTAATATGCAATTACAGCCAATTGTAAAATTAAGTAAAGCTATTTTTATATTATAAGGTAGCCATGAACTTGTTTTAATGGTTAACGGCCCAAAATTGTCTTATCAACCAAGTTAATCAAATTTGAAGCTAAATTCAGTAAATTAAATTCATGTATCAATTTGAGAAAAGCAAGAAAAATGTGTGTAGGTAAATATTGCAGGGGTTCTGGTATTTTCCATAAGTTTCCTAACTTACCGTTTCTTTGCTGTTTAGCTGGAATGTATAAATGATAAAATAAATTAATTAGATTTTTTTTTTTTTTATTAAATTGTTTGTCTCAGCCACGAAATCATTGTCGATTTGTCAGATGTCAACTCGTTATTTGACAAATTATTGTCAAATTATATCAGGCAGGGTTCCCAGTCATTAAATTATAGTTTTTAACACTGAAGTAGGTAACTGTGGTTTGCTTTATTTTATTTCGTTTTTTTTTCTATTTTACAAAATAATTTTGTTCTAATTTTTAATAAGCGCAAAACGTTTTCATCTGTACATAGCTCATATTGTACTTTTGCCGGTATTTTTAAAAGCCGCATACTAGTGACAGTTGGTGTCAAAGTGTCGAATGTCTGAGTTTTTAAGAAACGTTTTTAATGGAATGTAAATTCTAAAGTAAAATAATATTTTAAAAGCAATGCCACCTGATTCTTACCTCGTTGAGGTACTTCATTATTTAAATCCACATTTGATATGGATCGAAGTAATAGATCCGACTGTTGCACGGGGAGACAAATTTGTTTTCGAGCAAATCGGTATTTATGGAGTTCTTCCTATGGAACTTACGTTAGATGTGGAGGATGAGAACCTCAAGACGGGGGTATCGGATGTATGGTTACCAGCGGCATCAAGCACAATTAAGAAGGCACTGGCTGAAGCTATAGAAGTTAGATTCTGTCCGACATATATAGACCGAAGGTATGGTATTCGCTAAATTAATATTCTAACAAGAAATTAAACTATTTGACTTTAATTCAAAAGGTTGTAGTTTTTTTAACAAGCCTTTATTTTGTATCTCATTGTTTTTGCCATCTAAACAATTAACATAATTCTCAAACCAAAAGAAACAATATGGTGGCCCTTTGTTTTGATTCAAGTCTTATTAAGCAGGCTTAAATATTGTTTGCCCTACTATTGGTAATGGATGACAATAAAATTGGTCTCAATTTCACAAACTGTTTCATTTTAAATTTTATGATTTAGTTACATAAAGGCATAATCCATTTTTATTTTCTTTTTAGATCATCAATATTTGATGACAACATTCACAAATATGGTGAATTAATGGTTAGAAAACATGACAATAAATGGAAGTCTTTATCAAAGATTTTAATAAAAGCTGGTATTGCATCATACGACATGTGCCTGTTTCACCAACAATTAAGCTCGGGCAAATTAAACATAAGGCTCAAAAGCCTAGAATCCAGAGATGTAATTCAGGAGATTGAAAATTATTACATAAAGAAAAATGTAGCTAAGAAGAATTGGAAGAAATCAGTGGAAGAACAAACGGTAGTGAGTCATGCTACTTTAGAGTTGGAATCTACATTAACAACAATTAATTTACAAAAGCACAATGAAGTAATGCAAAGAATGCTGCAAAATAAAATAAATGACTTTGAACTCTGTAAAGATATAAATGAAGAGCCTTTAGGAAAAGGTTTTAAGGGTAAATTAAAAAATGTTTTCAGAGAAACAAAGAAAGAAACATTACCATCAAGTGTTGAAAATAATCACAAAGTGTCATCATTAAAGAAAAGACTTGAATTGATGACAAGGAAAAGTAACAGTCAAAAAATGGACAATGCACATAAAAGTGATCCTAAACAGATATTGGAGAATACGAAAAAATTCTTAGAACTTAATACCAATAAAAATCTTGAAAGAAAAGAAAATGAAGAAATATCAAGTAAAAGCAGTAAAGAGCAGACATCTGAAATGAAAAGTTATTATAATGGCCGAACATTTATAAAAGAAAACAAAAACAATACAGGTAACATATTTAAATTGTACTTCTTAACTTACTTCTTAAATGTAAAAGTTTAAATGGCTCAATTGGTTTTGATGAAATTTGACATAGACATAGAGCATAGTCTGGAAGAGCACATAGGCTACTTACTTTTGTTACTATTTGAATTTGCCTAATAATTTATTCACAGATTTCTTAAGAATTAAATTAAATGGGAACAAATATCTTTTTACAGAATTTAAACTACCAAAACCAACTGCAATGGAACATCCAAGAGAAAAAAAAGTATATTATGGCCCACCTGGTATTTTACCCACAAAATTATGTCTGAAAGTAATGTCTGAAAATGTTGGAAACCAACCATTTATCCCTGTTGATAATCAAGAGAAGACTACTGAGAAAGAAGATATTTTTGCTAACATGGATTCTGGAGTAAATGTACAAATAACTAATAAAAATTGTTTAATGAACATGAAACAGAATGTTGAAATAAATCATAAATATACAGTTCCAGTAAAATTGAATAATAGAGGTAGTTCAAGTAAAGGCAGTAGTGTCAATTTGGCAGAAAAGACAAATTCTGCATCTACAGTCAAATCTTCAAGTAAAGTTTTACAAAGAAAGTTAATTTTACATGAAAAAAAGAAAGGTAATTTTCTGAACGGTCCATTTTCTTCATGTTCAGAAACATCAAATAAAGATTCATCTTCTTTAGAAGAAGTTGATGTTAGAAAAAAAGAGAACAGAACAGAAACTCAAAATTCAGATGATGAAGTCATAAGAAAAATTAATGAGGAGTATTCTACTCCTAACGTAAGCAAAGAAGTTAACTTTAATACTGATAATTACATTTCTATGAAAAATTCTGTAAACCCTTTCAAAAATATTGACCCAAACATATCTATATTTGTAGAAAAACTTGTGACACCCGTGTTGATGGTGCATACAAAAATGAACAAACGAATAGAACCGGTTTTCAATCTTAGGGATGTTAACTTCAATGCCGACATTCTAATGGCCTTGAAAACTATGTCTATAGAAAATCCTATGATGCTACAAACAATATCATGGTTTTGTATACTACGAGGGTATAGTACATTTTTGATAAGTCCTGTAGGAAGTGGAAAAACAATGGGATATTTGCCAGCTGTGTGTCGACTAGCATCTGATAATGATTTCGATGATTCAGAAAGTGTTGGTCCAAAATGTATAATTATATGTGCGACTGCAAAATCTGTTGGCGAGATTGAAAAGCTTTCTAAAATGTTTTTAAAAGACAACAATAAGGTGGTTGCATGTTTTGCAGGTGTTGATGATGCACTAATAACTACTTCCTTGTTGAATGGTTCTGACTTATTAATATGTACGCCATCGTATTTAGTACGTTTACTTCAACTAACCGATTTCGGGGTTGATTTACGTCGTCTTGCAACAGTTGTCCTCGATGATTGCGAGAGATTAGGCGAAGTATATACCAATGAATTGAAGTATATCATTTTGAAAGTCAAAGAAACTCTCAAATACCGAACCAACAAAGAGCTGAAAGTACAATATGTTGCAGCGTCTAGGATTTGGTGTGATTTCATGGAACCAATAATAAAGAAAGCCCCACATTCTGTTGTCTGCATGGGGGCATTTCAAGAATGTGTCCTATACTCAAAGGCTGGAATTTCCGTTAGTTTTGTTTATGATAATACTAAAATGCAAGCTGTTCATGATTTTCTTAACCAAATCGACGTTACCAAAAGAACAGTAATCGTTTGTGATACAGATGATGAGATATTTTTACTAAAAAAGACTTTAAAGAAATATAAAAATGCAATTTTTACCTGTGACAGTACAATGACCATTCAAGATTTGTACAATTTGAGAATCACTTGGGATGAATATCAGGAACCATTGTCGGGACCAATTCTATTATGTTGCAATGACACTCTGGCTCATATGAATGTGACTGATGCGAACTATTTGCTCATTTATTCCCTTCCACCATTGTTCTCTACGTTCTGTAGATGGTTTTCAGTTTTAAATGACAAATATCCATCTATTTTTAAACAAGATAATGAAATCGTGAAAATCAAAATATTAATTGAAGAGAAAAATTTGGAGCAGTTGCCAAAAATGCTTAATTTTGTTAAACGATGCACTGATAATAAATTTCCACAACACTTGAGTAAGGTCTGCAACAACATTATGATTGAAAAAGATAAAGCCAAAGCTTCAAAGTTAGTACCACTTTGTAATAACTTACTTGGTCTCGGTTATTGTCCTGACTATTGGAATTGTCACTTTAGACACACCTTCGAGGTAGCTGTTGATAAATTGAAAGAATGGATGCCACTAACTGGCCAAATTACATTTAAAATCCTGCACTATCACTCTGCGGTTTGTTTTTCGGCTAGACTGCTGTCTAATACAGTGGAAGACTCAACGAAAAAGTATCCACAAACATATAGCACTCTTTCCCTAAAAATGGGCATGTATTATAGTAAGGAAAGTAACAAAAAACTCCACGGTGTGCCAAAAATTGGTGACATATGTGCGGTTTCACTGAAGCAAAACTTTTTCGCGAGATGTCAAGTGATTAAAATTTTGAGCAAGTATCAAAGAGGGAATCCTAACTCTGTACTAATCAAACTTTTAGATGAAGATAAGATGGAAACGACGAGGGACATATATTTGTACTATATACCTGAAGAGATGAAAAAAATAGAAACGCACGTGGTTCAAGTGAGACTAGCCAATATACAACCTAAAGACAAAGACGTGACGTTTTCAGATCTGGCTAGAGACCAACTTAAAATGATAACTGACCAAGATGAAGAACTGTATATGAGGGGAGAAGTAGCCATGTGTATTGGAAATTGCGTTTTCGTTGATACCCTTGAAGCTTGTCAGGACTTGGCATCAATAAACCAAACAGTTGTAAAACATGACTTTAAATCAGACCTTCTAGAAAAGCATGCCGTACCAAATATGGAACATTTGGACAAGATTAAACAGATTTGTGGCGTCAAATTTGAAGTTGAAGAGAAAAATGAAACGCGAAAATCATTGGAGCCAGTAAAAACTGCAACTGCTTCTTGGGCTTATTTAGAAAAGGACAACACTTCGTTGGTGTTTTTTGGAAGTGCATTAAATCCAAGTAAATTCTTTGTGCGTCTTCAAAAGTTTGATTCGTGTGTAAATATGTTGCTGAAGGAAATACAGAAGTTCGTTGCTACAAATCCAGAACCATTGAATAATGTTAACGAGGGTGATATTGTGTTAGCTATGTTCCCAGACGACGGAGCATTTGAAAGGGCTAGAATTGAAAAGGTCATCGACAAACATAAAGTAAAATGCTTCTTCGTCGACCAAGGTGATTGGAGAGAGGTGCCCGTTAAGAAATTAATAGCTATTAAAGACGAATTCATATCAAAGCTGCCTTTCCAAGCAATCGAATGTAGATTACTAGGCGTTAAACCTGCTGGAGAAGAATGGTCAGATTTCGCAACAAATTGGTTTTCCGATATATGTTACGACGTTGATAATGACAGTATGAAATATTTGTATGTAAAATGTTTTACCAAAGAGAAAGCTGAGTTTACTAATGGCAATAAATATGGTGTTGTAATGTTCGACACGAACAATGATGATGATGTTGTTATAAATCTAGTTTTAATTGACGTTAATTTTGCAAAAGAGATTGATAGTGAAATTAAATATTTGCACGAATGTGAGACGATTAATCTCAGTAAAAACTCTTTAAATGGTGAACAGCTCTCTGATTCAGAAGAAGAGGCGAAGGAAAATTTTGATTCTGCAGTTTGTAAGAATAACAATGTACAGGCAAATAACTCGTCAATGTTGGACACTATATTCAAGAAACCCATAAGATCCGTGCCTTTGGTAGGGTCAGATGATTCAGATGATTCTGATCGATGGAATATCAATATGGCTGAAGATTTTCTAAACATTTTCAAACCTAATAAAGATTCTAAAATAGAAGATACTAAAAACTTACCTGCAATTGTGAATGAGACAGAAAAGGACGTGAACACTTCTACAGACAAACCTGAAAATAGTCTACCAGACGTACCTCGATGTAAAAATACTAAAGAATTAGATTCCGATGATTTTACGTCACCAGAATCATCGGATGTTTTAAAGACATCAGAGAACCGTGTCATAAAATCTCTTTTAGTAACAGATAATATGCGGAAACCAAAACTAATTTGGCGTCAAAATAAAAAGCTTGTTATTATTAAAGTGAATCTTATCGGATTACAGATGTATGATGTTAGAATTGACGGCAGAGCTATAAGTTTTGCGGCAAATTTGAATGACTTAGAATATGCGTTCGATATCGAGTTGTACGGAGCTATAGACGTGGCGAAGTCACATCATTGTAACAAAGGGCTGTATGTTCTTATGAAGTTACATAAGATTTTAAACAAGAACTGGTTGACTTTGACGAAAGATGAGGAGATAAGAAAATGGATTGTGTACGACGTGGAATCTATTGACGCTTCCTCTGATGAGGAAGTTATTGATGAACATAATAAAAAGACAATGTTAAGCGCAATTCAGAATATTTATACTAAAGAAGATACTGATAGTGAAGATGATGATTTTCATGATGATCTCAACTAAGAACAACTAAGATTTCTCATTAAACTTATATTTATTTCTAACATTAAGAGTAGGTGCGCACCTTTGACTAAACAATCGCAAACTGTTGTGCGATTGTCGATTGTTTCGCAGCCTGAACTGTTTAGTTGCACAACTAAAAATCGAGTAGTATGCGTACTTCCAAATAAGCTCTTAGGAGTCAAAGCACGACTTAACTGTTAAAGGTGCGCGCGCGCTCTAAGTTAAAAACCAATAGTCAACATAGACGCATTCTTTTGAAGTTAGTTTAGTGAATTAAGGACTAGTAATTTGAAGTGAGGATGTCAAGTTGTATATAAATGATATGGTGTTTGTATTGTCTATGTCTATATCAAATCGTGGGCTATCACTGTCGCAATATGTGAGAAAAAAGATATTGCCATCTCTGTCGTACTCGAAAACCAATGATATGGCTTTTGTACAGATGTTTCGGCAGTGAAAATGCACGGTTAAGAGTGAAATGTATATCTTAATGTAGATTTGTCTTATAAATGTTATGCATTTGTATGTGCGGTTTGTCAGTATTTTTCATTTCAATACTTTAATACGTTTCTCGTATGTCCTAAGTCCTACGTTAAGATTTAAACTATATACCATTATTTTTAAAGTCTGTCACAAAAGTCCGCCTATACTATAAGTATAGGGTTCTCTATTAATTAGGTTTTAGTTTGTTTTTAATATGAGACTACCTAAGAGTTTTGTTACGATTTTTCATTGTAAGTTATGCTGTTATGGCCTGGAATAAAAAGATATTTTTTTGTTGTAAGAGCTAGTAAACGAAAAAGCCATATAAATTCGCTAAAATAGCAAAGTGACCACTGCCATAGGGAGAGGATGTCCCCTCCGCCAACACTTGCTTCATCTCATCTCGCACTTATAAGAAAAAGGGAGAGGGAAGGAGGTGATGGCCATTACCGGCTACCTGAATCCGCTGAAATGCCGATATGACCGCAGCCCTTAGACATCCACAATTGCAGATGCGTTACCTACCCTTAATCGACGGTGGAGGAGACGCACAGGACGATTTTCCCCTTATCCCCTACTGTCAAATCCAATTTCCCTTCTCATTCTTTCCTCTTAAGTAAAGGCTGGAAAGAACAAGGGAAACCGCGGAGTTGCTTCCACTTCACGCTTGGCTTCTTTGTGATCAAGGGCGAGCCGGCCTTACAGTGCGAAGTTGTTAAAACGGGCTCTACCACTATTAAACCATAATTAGTCCTCAGCATGCACTCAGACGAAATAGTTGTCAGACACGCGGAATTGCTTTCACTTCACGCCTGTCTGTGGTCGTGGTATTTCTCCTGTTACGCCGGCCTACTCGTACAAGTGACGTTTTACTGTTACATGAATTTAAAAAAATAATTCTTTAAATAGACTGAAACTTGTGCCAAATGAGAATGCGTAATCTCCGGCTACCTTTAGGTTACGGTCATATATATATCGATGTTTGTATGGACACATTGTGAAAGGTGTCCTAGGGAGATGTACGCTCTTTTCTTGAAGGATCCTATGTTCAGTTTTAAGACTTGTTTGGAGTTATTTTATATGTTTTGTTATAGTTATTTTATTTTTGTTACCATTCACGTGTTGAACGAAAACTCATCGATATTGTGATATTTACGTTTTGTGACATTACTTACCGTGGGTTTCTACAGACCTAAAATATTTGTATCTCAGTTTATTTCAGAGACTAACGGCCGAATACTGAAACGTGATTTAAATATGTAACCGCGTTTTAAATGACAAGGCTAAGAGATGTCCCTACTTTTTTATATCATAAGGTGACAAGTGGCAAAGCGACCGCTGCCCATAGAAAATCGCAATAGCTGATGCGTTGCCTACTATTAATTGACGGAAGAGGCGACGCACATGAAGATATTTCTCCTTCCAATGCGTCTCCTCCACCCTTCAAATCGACGTTCCCTTCCCATCCTATTCTTATAAGAAAAAAGGTGGAAAAGAAAAGGGATTAAAGTTGGGCCTATAGCACCACACTCATTAGATTGTACGCGGAATAGCTCCCACTTGACGCCTGTCTTCTGTGTGATCGTGGTATTTCACCGGGCGAGCCGACCCATTCGTGCGAAAATGTTAAGCGGGCTCTATCACTATTAAACTTACAAAGCAAATATAAGATTAGTTCCAGTATTTGGCCGTAAGCGAGATAAAAAGTTTGTGCAATTCTATAATATTGTAAGTGAAAAACCACGGGAACTGTATTAATTACTTAGAAATTTCATAACTTGTATGAAATTCCTGTTTAGATCTAAGTGTAATTGGCATTAGTTCATTTAATGAAGCAGCAAATACGTAAAATATATATGATTTTATGGTTTAACCTTGTTTTTTATTTTTGACCAACTTCCCAAAAAGAGGTACTCAATGCGTCTGTACGTTTTTTTATTCTTTTATAAGTATGTTACGGCATAACTTCGCACGTGGACCGATTTTGACAATTATTCTTTTTATTCGAAAGTAGATCTTGCAGATGGGTCCAATTTTTTTTTAAATAAATTTTTGCTAAGAATTGTACAATATAGACATAACAGCTACAATAAGGGAGGCTTAAGTAATTCAAGGGATTATTTCGTTACTATTACTATTTAGTGTATTGTTTTTTTTGAAGAATATTTTTTTTATTTGGTTTGGAAGTCGGTTTTTCCAAGTTATATGGACAAAAGAAAATAAAAGTCATAGTTTCTCAACAATAATTTATTTTGGATTAAAATAACAATTACAATAAATACTACGTTAAGCTTTTTTTCTATATAATTTTATATTTCATTACGATTACTTAGCGTTAGTTTTAACAAAGCAGATATATTTTATAAGTAATATTATGGATAGTCCGAAGCTAAGTTAAAATTATTTTTTAATTAGTAAACAGTGATTTAGTTAAAAAGTAAATTTTCAATAATTCCTACATAAATAAAACTAACATTTAAAACAATTTAACGTATAATATAACATTTTTAACAGACATAAAAACTAACAATAATACTGCTGTATACGGTACAAAAAAGTAGTTTCACATTTTAAATTTTAACGGAATGATAGAAGAAGATATTAAAAATAAAACTAAAAAAACGGAAAAAGAAGAAAGCATGTAAAAACCTATTGACAATTTTCTGTTTTACGTTCATTACATAAAAAATATGATAACGAAAAAAATATGCGAAATGAAAATATTTTGACTTGGGGTGCTTCAATCAGTTTATTGAACCACATTCGGATTTGCGCAGAAAAAACTAATTGATTATTTTACCGAGCATTATTACTCCTCAAAATTAAACATGTTAATATGATTCCATTATTAATGTCTGTCTGAAATTATTAACATTTTAACTCTTAAAGCGCACACCTTTGACTAAACAATCGCACAACGGTTGTGCGATTGTCGATTGTTTCACAGACTTCAACTGTTAAGTTGCACAGCTAAAAATCGAGTTATGTACACCTCGTACGCTCATAGGAATCAAAGCGAGACTAAATAGTTGTGCGATAGTTTAGTCAAAGGTGTGCGCGGGCTCTTAATTAAAGGATAGTTATTTTAGATACAATTACCAATTTAAATGGTAACAGTATGTAGGTAAGTAGGCTGTGTAGATTACGAAAAAAATCATTTCTTAAAAAGAGGGTTTTTTTCCTTAGGTTGGTACTGTTAATGTTGCCAGTAAACAAAAATAAAAAATGAAACATCAAGTGAGAAACAATTGCCAATATTTTAAAGTTGATAATTTTTACATATGTTGCATTAATTTCGAAGAGAGATTACATATAACTACAGTTACATAAGTAAAGAGGGTAGATAGAACATTCCTAAATATGCATTAATTTAAATGCATGATTTAATACCCTAAATTAAAACGGGTAGTAGAACATAGATCAAGAGGATTTTTTTTTTAAATAATCTATTGGGTGTGGAAGAGAAGACTGATGTATAATCATTTAAGGGTTAATTTGGACCGAGATTACAGTAGAGGGTAGATATTAAACATTGAAGCGTGTCTCGGAGCCGTCAGCCAGCATGA